TTTCACTGTTACAGTGACTTCATAGTCATATGAAGGCTGCGACAAACAACAATGAAAAACACAGGGAAATAAGTGGGTTTGGAAGCACAGGAAGAATTTGCTCCCGGCATACCTAATTCTCCAGGAGTCAGTCTGGGGAATATGCATTATTATTATTATTATTATTTTAAAATGAAACTTCCATAGAAGAGAAAAACATCAGGTCGGTAGATTAGTGAGACCAAGGACAGGTCCTTGCTGGGTTGGCACATGGGCAGACGCTGAGGAAATAGCTTTTTCTTGATGCTGTGGACTGTATGAAATCCTTGATGTTGCCCAGCTCCCAGGGAGCCTATTCCACTGATGCCTTCTTGAACCTTTTCTAGATGTATTTAAGTGCACGTTTGCAGCTGGTCTTTTCAGTGTGTAAAAGACAAACCCCAGAAACAAAGGGTGGGCTTCCTAGTGTTTAAAGCAGGTCATGGTGGAAGGGAAGGTATTAGCTCTCACCCTTGAGCAGGGCTGCACAGGAATAAAATTCCCCCATTCACCCCTCTCTGATAATTTATGCACCAACAGTATAGAATGTCTTTACTATAATTAAACGTTTCCTTAAGCTCCTCATTGGTTAATTTCAGTTTTAATAAATTACAGTGATAAGAGAGGTGGGAAAACAATAGAAAGGAACTTTAAGTAAAGCTGTTCTTATGCTCAATATGTCGTTAATTCAGGAGACATTTATTATACAAACACTGTGGACTGTCCATGGACACCGGGGAGACACCACCACTGCTTTTAACCTTTGTGCCTGTGAGCTTGTCCTCTGACCTCTGTTGGGTTCATGCTGTTATCGACACTGTGGTGCCTCCATCAAGAGGCTTGCAGTAGCCTATGTCTCCGTGACCCCCTCCTTTTTCTTTTGGGGGAGTATTGGGCAAACAAGCTGTTGCCTTTACCAGGTTCTCTTATGGGAGAAATATTGTAAATGAGGAATACCCCATAAAAATATGAGAAGAAAAATGAACTATAGGGTTGAATAAATATAAACCTTTAAAACTTTACTTCCATGGATTCAGAAATGAGAGAATAAGTATTTTTCCCCCCACCTCCTCCCCAAAACGCATTGAATGGATAGTTCCAGAGGTGTGCGCCTTTATGATGCTGTTCATTTGATTCATGATTCATAAGGCTCCTTTGTAGGAGAGCTGGCTGGTGTCTGTGCCAACACACTGACTTTACAGATAGGCCGAAGCTATAATTCTCTGTGCTCTGACTCAAGCAGCGGGGCACACCAAGGGAATTTTAATGCAGAGTCTCTCAAAGTAAAATTTGATAAAAAGAAGCTTATAGGCAATTCTGTTGGTAAAAGTAAAAGGAACAATGGCTAGGGGGGGAAGTAGCATTGTTCCGGTCACAGTTATATTTTGAAATTAAAAAAAAAAGCCAGCTCTTTTACTCAAACCATTGAAATATCTCTGTATTCGCTTGAGAAAAATAGTATTATCACCACAGAAGAAAAGAATTGCCGGGTGCTTCGTTGTTAACGGGAACCAGAATCCTGTGATTCTGATGACTTATTGGAGGTTTCATCGTCTGAGGACCTTGCTACAGCTCAGGATACAGATGGGCTCTTGGAGGATGGAGTGTCTGCCTGTTTATATTCTTCTTGACACAATCCCAAGAGGGTTAGATTCAACAATCACAGAGAAGTTTGCTCTCCATTTGTTTTGATGAGTAGTGCAATACACACAATACCAATAAATCCTGTAAATGGTTGTTCTTATATAATGGGCTTTTACTCTTCTTGGTGACATAATCAGAGAGGTGAATCATAGCTATTAGGGTAGAATAAAGCAGTGTAAGTCAGGGGACAACACACTGTTTGTTATTATATCCTTCTGGAGTTAAATAAGTGCTTTATAATAAGTGTTTTTAGAAATCATTAAAGATTCTCTCAGTCACAAAAATGACTCTGTGTGCATAATTTTCATGTTTCGCATATAGGAAAGAGTATAAAATAAAAGATAAGCAAGCTCGTGGGTGAGTAGGGAAGCAGTTTATGCTCAGCATGAATGGAATGTTAAGACAAGGCTCTTACTAGACTCTTTATTAGTGGTGGATATTATTGCTGATAGATAGGAAGTGAGGATCTTTGCCAGAGATCAAGAATGCTAGGTCAACCTGCTCTCTCAGTCTTTCCCTTGACTTAGGGACTGGCCATTTGGAAATCATGTGGTCAGTGGCCTTCCAGAATCAAATGGCTCTTCTTTATTCATTTTCCTTGCTCAAAAATAATAACTGGTCTGAGGAGATAGCACTGTGTCTAAAGTATTTGCCAAGCAAGTGTGAGGAGGAGCTGAGTTTGATACTCAGAACCCATGCAAAAACAAAACAAAACAAAAAACAAAACAAAAAACCCAACAACACCAAAAACCAAAACCACGAAACAAACCAGATGTGGTGGTATATACTTGGAATTTTAGTGCTGGGGAGACCATAGGGTCATCGGGTTGCTCAGCTAGCCAGCCTGGCCTGCTTTGTGAGTCACAGGCCCCGAGGGAAGACAACGGCTGGAGAAGTGAAAAACATCCATCAAGCAACACCCAAGGATTTCATTTAGCCTTCCACCCATGTGTGCACGAATAACAGCACGTATTGAATTTGCACGCACAAAATAATAAAAACTTTGACACAATTTTTCATCTTTAAAATTTCAGAACAATTCCTATGATAATCATAGAAGGACAAATACCGTTTTGCAGATGTGAAGAGCCCTTAAGATCTGAGAGTGTTTGGTGACTTACCCACAAGTCTACAATATCCCATGGCTCACACACACTTCTTTTGCCGTCGTTAATTTTCTATGACTTTTATACCAGGAGGATTGAATGCCCTCCAGAAATTAAGCTGCCCCACACTGCCAGGCCAATTTGCTTGATTTCTAACATTGATTGAGCCCAGCTGCTCCCTAACCAACCTGGGAGTGGAGCTGAGAGAAACGTGTGACTTCTCCTTGGGGCCCTTTCCCGGTCTTCTCCGGTCCTGGTGAGTGGAGAGGAGGGTTTATGTCTTCTATAGTAGTTCCATGTTTGACACAAGCTTCTGGTACTAAAATCTTTATAGGAATAAAAAAAGAACAATTCCTGTCTTGGTAGTGCTCAGAGTATTGAGCCACAAGTAAATAATGGCTAATTGCATGGGGACTGCTGTGTGGAATAACTAAATCACATTCACATATGATGCCAAAGAGTGCACATAATATCCAATTAAGTGTGCTATTCAGTGATGCTGTCCTTCCTGCCCTGAAGTTGATGTGTGATAAAAATGACTCTGACATTAGGTGTTCATGTCAGACAGAATGGTTCATAATTGAGAATTTTTCTGTTTGGCTAATGAGATGATGAAATGTACAATGAAAAAAAATAAAGAAAACTGCACCAAGGAATTCAGAAGGATACATTTTCAGAGCATTAATACCACAAAGCAGTATCATCTCAGAGTAAAGGCAGCCTTTGGATCTCATCACTGTCCGGCTTCTGCATGGCTTCTCTCTGCCATATCCTACCATACCCTGAATACGTGGTCTCGAGTTATGACCCAGCTCCCATAACAAACAATATTTTGGGAGAGCAACCAACTGGGCCTTGAAAAGATGCACTCACTACAGCTCTTTCTAACACTGCCTCTAGTTTTTACCCATGATAATCATCTTCTCCCACTCACAGCATTTAAAAATAGTTCATTTTTTTTAGATTTTTTATTTTATAATTTAATTTTACATATCAGCCACGGATTCCCTTGTTCTCCCCCCTCCCGCCCCCCCAGCTTCCCTCCAGCCCACCCCCCAATTCCCATCTCCTCCAGGGCAAAGACTCCCCTGAGGATTGAGTTCAACCTGGTAGATTCAGTCCAGGCAGGTCCAGTCCCCTCCTCCCAGGCTGAGCCAAGTGTCCCTGTATAAGCCCCAGGTTTCAAACAGCCAACTCATGAACTGAGTACAGGACCCAGTCCCACTGCCTGGATGCCTCCCAAACAGATCAAACTAATCAACTGTCTCACTTATCCAGAGGGCCTGATCCAGTTGGGGGCTCCTCAGTATTATTTTTTTAGATTTTAATATAACTGCTTCATATCCCCATTACCATTTCTCCCTTCAAACGGCCCCGTAAACCTCTCCTTGCCCTCTTTCCTATTCATGGCCTCTTTTTAATTGTACACATACACAATATATACACCAGGAAGCAGAACATGCTGAACCAAGGCAAGCCTATCACCTCTAAAAGCCTGACTCTTGTCTTCTATTTCTTCCAGATAGGTCCCACCTCTTACAGGTTTTACAGCTGTCCAAAACATCTGCAACAGCTGGGGGGACAAACGCCTGAAGCATGAGCCTGTAGGGTGATGTTTTATTCATCAGAACATCTGTTAGGAAGATGAGGTGGAAGGCTGAGCTGAAGAGAGCAGCATGGCACTGCCCACCACATTACCTGGACTAAGTCTGGAGAAAACCAGATCCGGATTAGAGGAACTTCACACCGCAGATTCCAGAAGATATGAGTTCTTTGAACTTACCATGAATTATAATGTGTAACACAGGGAAAGCATTCTGCCTAAAGCCTCTTAGAGGGTCCATTTCTCTGGAAGGTTTTGGGGAAAGGCGCTTTCAGTAAGAAAAAAACATTTGATGGAAGTCAACAGCTAGAATGACTTAATTAGAGACAATTGAGATAAGTGTGAGAGAGTGAACTCTGTAACACAGGTGGAGGCCTTTTACATGCTAGGTTGAGCAGCTGAGAAATTCTGGAGGACATTGTGGGGAGGGAGCTGTTCTATGTGCTTATTTTCTAGTAAGGAAGCCTTGGTAGCAGCACTAACTGGCACAGCCTTTAAGTGGCTTTAGATAGTCAATGTCACCTAGTGGCAGCATTACAGCTGCTGTTTTGTTAGATGAATATGATTTTTCTCACCAAATTGACTTCTGAATAACCATGTTTATCCCTTTCGATTACTGTTTCCCTCAGCTTTACTCAGGACGGGTTCCTGTGCGCTGTGCAGTGATTCAGAGATTTCTAACTTGTCAACGTGCTGATACTCAACGACCTGTGAATTTTAAGTTCTCAACTGGACGTCTGGAGCCGATGAGGCAGCTCAGTGGGAAAAGGCTTGCAGTGTGGTGACTACAATTTGATTCTTGGACCCCTTGTGAAGTCAGAAGGTCAGAGCTCTCTCTACAAAGCTGTCTTCTGAACTCCACCTGGACACTGTGTCATGTATATCCATTCTATCCTCTATACACCAATAAAGTTTAAAAACTTAAAAGGAGAATCAAGATCACCCCCTCCAAGGCCCAGGGAACAGAAGTGAGGGCAGAGTTTAAGAGCCCAAGGATTTGAGTGTCATGGAATTTTTTTTCTGGGTGTGATGTGGTCATGGCACTCTTTTACTTACGGATTGTCTGTGGCTAGTTGGAAAGAAGTGGAATCAAGGGAGTGTGAATGGGATAAGAGAGGGTACTGGTGCTTAATATGATCAAAACAAATATAACTATAGACATTACATACATGTCATAATGAAATATGGGTTTTTTAAAAAAGATTTATTTATTACATATACAGTGTTCTGCCTGCATGTATGCCTGCAGGCCAGAAGAGGGCACCAGATCTCATTACAGAGGGTTGTGAACCACCATGTGGTTGCTGGGAATTGAATTCAGGACTTGTAGAAAAGCAGCCATCCTCTTAACCTCGGAGCTATCTCTCCAGCCTGAACATGTCATAATGAAACATTATTACATACAATTTGTATGTGGTAATAAGATATTTATGAAAGACAGTGGCTGTCACTAAAAAGACACACTATGAGATTGAGAACAAACAACTTGTGAGAACTTGTGAGATGATGCCGGGACTCTCAGAAGACTCTGGAGTTGTTTACAAAAGATTGTGTCTGATGAAGGCGGTATAAGGCTGGTGGGTCATAGCCACTAATGTGATCTTATAGTTGTGACTGACAAGGTCTGGGGAAGCAGAGTGCTAAAGTGAAATATTTTAACCTGACTTTGAACTTGTGATGCTTTCATTCCTGTAGTGTTTGTGCTGTGACATCTTACTGCTTTGTCCTCCGCAACAAGAATGTGGGGGTGGGGTGGGGGGCAGAGTGGAAATAATATTAGACAAAAGGCTAAAAAATGGCTATGCTTTGCATTCTACCAGATATGAGCTAAACATACTTAGGAGAGGCACTCATCCTTAAAATTCCTTATGGGGAAACTGGATATAATATAGTCTTGCACAGGGATTTTGTCAGAAGTGAACTGAAGTCTACGACATCCTTTGTAATCACTGAGAATGGCAGGTCTTTCTTTGGACCTGTGATGCCTTTTCTATTAGTCACACTCCTCATGCAACTCCATCACGTCCCTCCAGATCATTGCCAGCCATTCACAGCCAGATGATTTCTCTTAGGCTTCTGTTTCTGTTGTCATCCTAGCTCCTGCTAACTTAAGCATCATAAACATGTTTTAAATTTAACTTTTCCCTCTTCTAACATCATGTTTTATCCATCTTTCAGCCTTCAAGTATTCAAGCTGAACTTTCTTTTGCAATGCTGTGTTTCACTACCTTGTGTGTCTTTTGTGATCATTTGGAATTCAGGGGGAATACTGTCTCATGCTCCTCAGCTAAACACACACAGTGTAATTGATGTCCTTTGCTCACCACTACTAAAATGTCTCATGGCTTGGTTGGTAATTTTTATGTTCTTTGTGCATCTGTTCAAAGCTCTCAAATTTACTGCTTGATATCAATAACTATTTTTATGTGATAATCCAGTTTACTTTATATAACACTCAAATAAATTTCTGAATTCTGTGTTCTTTGATGGCAAGTGTGGGTGTTAATAAGAAAAGCAAATCATCATTGGATAGGAAGTTAAATATTTGCTTACCAGATTAAACAAAATTCCCAGCTTTGAAAAGGAATTCTGTATTTTTCCATTTAATTTTCAGGACAAAGAAATAATTTTAGGAGGACTATCAAAGATGCAGTTGTGGTTACTTTGCTATTTGGCCCTTGTTCTGTAGTAATTTAGTTTGAACAAGACCCAAGTGTGTGCTATTCTTTGGCTTTATAGCTTTCTAACCATAGGCATTGATGGCATTCACGATTATGGATTAAATAGGCCAACTCTCGTCAGTAATTTGTTACAGAATTCCCACAGAGATACCTATGGTGCTGCTGAACAATGATGTTGTAGTATGTTATTTTGCTGTAGGAAAAGCTACAGCATTCAACACAGAGTTCAGAGCTTGATACTGCAAGCCTCTTCTCTATTTGCTGTGAATTAAACCTTGAGTACACTCTGCCCAGTATTGCAATTAGCATCTGGATCCTGGTCAAACATTAATTTGTACAATTGAAAATTACTTTACTCATGGGTAAGAAATATAGCCAGTCATGTCTTACCTTTGTTATATAAGTCTGCCTGGGGTTGCTAAATCATAGTCGCATTCTGCCACTGTGTACAACCAGTGGGCTCTTAGAAATTTCAGCAGGAAAAGCTCTCAAGAAAATACAAGAACCTTTTAACCCGAGGTTATCTCCGGGAGACTAGTTTTTGGTTTAGTTATTCAATTGTCTCTGGAAAAAAATTGTTTTCTTCAGTGCTACTTAGTGTTTTGAATGGACACACTTTCCTAGTAGGATTCATGTTTTCAATTTCATTTGGTGATGGGTGGAAGTTTCAGGTGAAATATGAAATGCTTTATAATATGAAAAAATTAAATATGATCAACGAGGTGGTAATTTGCTAATCCAGGATTCTTAACGAAGAGAAAACATATATATTTTCAAAACAGCCAATAGATAGATTTCTGTTTGGTTGTGAGGATTTTCCCAACTTGGAGGTGGTACTGTACACTGAGGTCAAATTGGCTCTTTGTGAAGCAGCAGCAGAAGTGAGCTGCGTTTACATGAGTGCCAGAAATAACAGCTTGCAGGATACCTCAGGTCTGTGATTTATTTATATAAATGAACTATTACTGGGGGATGGCCAGGTCCTCTTAGTTATGTGTATTCTCTGGCTAATTTGTGGAGACATGTAGACTATAAACCTTAAGATACCTATTCTCTGTTTCTTTCTAGGAAAAATTAGTTTACCCATAATTTACATCATTACCTTTACATTGTGGGACCAGAGACAATTGTGCACAGTCTAATAAAAAGAAAAAAAAAACAGTTCACACATCTGAGAAACAGTGAAACCTAGGACCTTCCCATCCCTTGGACTTTGACCTAACACTTGCAATGAGTGCAACCTTCAGCACCTATTTCTCCTTTTCTCAGGTTGTGTCATCCTAGCTTTCATCTGTTACAGTGTCACCAGCCACCTGTGTTTGATAGGTTATAATTTTAGGGTGGTTCTTGTTGTCTTCTGATTTTTTGAAATGGGAAACTCACTATGTAGGTATCTCATGTTGGGCTCTAACTCATGACTTTCTAGGCCTTGGTCTTCCCAGAGCTAGGGTCATAGGTGTGTATTGTTACTTAAATCCTTGGATTGAGGATGTTGTTTCTTTGTTTTGAAGCTTCAAAACAAAGAGTGATGATTAAAGAGTGATGATTATCTGCTTGTTTGCTTCTGTGTTGGTGAATATTGGTTGTCAACTTGACTTGATCTGGAGTCAACTAAGAGATACCCCCCTGGGCACACCTATAAGTGATTTTTTTGGATCAGGTTAGGTGTGAAAAGACCCACCCTAAGTGTGGGCTCTATTTTGGTGGCAGCCAAATAAAAAGAGGTGAAAGGGAAGGCTTTGTTTTTTCTTTCCTGCTTTCCTTTGGGTTACCTTTTAGTCATGTGTCCAGTGACATTCCTCTAGAGAACCCTGACAAATAAAGATTGTACCAAGAAGTGGGGCTGTTGCTCTGGAAGACCTGACCATCTATATTTTAAGCTTTTAGGATGGTTTTGTGGGAAGACTGTGGAAGAGGTTGATATTTTGGGTTGGAAAAGCCATTCAGTGAATCGAGATGAGTTTAGTGGGCCACTTGGAAGCATGCTGGCAGAATTACAGACAGCGGAGGCCCAGCACTTTCAAGTTTCAGAGTAGAAAAATGACTTAATGCTTGGATTAGAGGCCATTCATCTGATATTGGCCAAGAATCTGGCTTCATTCTACCTGTGTCCTGGAAACTTGAGATAAGTTGAAGATCAAGATAATGGACTAACTTTGATGAGGGAAATGTTTAAGAGCAAGCCTAAAGTTTGGGGCAAGGAGAGTGAAGACAATAAAATACCTATAACCTGCACCGGGGCAGTAGGAGGATTTCCCCTCAGGGTCTGCACACAGAATCTGACACATTTATGGTCTAAGAAAGCTGGGCTACATCGTGCACTGGCAGCAGAACTTGGGAACATTATCCTATGGTGTTGATTTTGAAGGCATGAAAGATGGAAGACTGAGAGGCCCTGAAGAACATTTGAGGCCCGGCGTCCTCTACAGTAAGGGTGGAGTTGTGACAGTTAGTGCTAATTGTCAACTTGACAGACTATACAATCACCTGGGTGGTAGGCCTCTAGCAAATCCTGTGAGGATTTACCATCTTCATTGGGTTAATTGTGGTGGGGAGACCCAGTCTTAAAGCCAGCACCCCATTTTTACAACAGCTTTACAATCTTACCTGTACAAGAGTGGAGAAAGAGCTGAATGCTGACCTGTCTACATTGATTCATTGGTCTGTGCTCTCATCTCTGGCTGGGATGTAACCAGTTCTTTCAAATTTGTGATGCCTTGACTTCCCCCAGGGATGGGCTTTAACCTTGAACTGTGCTAAATAAACCCTTTCTCCATTAAGTTCCTTTTTTGGGGGGTAGTTTATAACAGCAACTGGAACAGAATCTAAAAGAAGTTTCTTATACTGTAGTTTGTGCTTATAAAGTATAACGATATTATTTTCCTAGCTTACAGTTCTCTAAAAGTGGTCACATAGCTGTTTCTGAATTTTCATTAGACTAATAGGCATCCACATGGATTTGGAATGGGGTTGCTTGTTCTTGCATTACTTGGGAGAAAGAGCAGATATTTGAGTATCTACTCCGTAATTCTATTGTCTCTCTAAAATGGCAAGTCCTTTGCTTAATTAAAAAAAATATTTATTTAACTTACAGCTAGGTATGTGCATGCCTGAGTGCATTTATGTGCACATATGTATGCAGGAGTCCCCAAAGGTCAGAACCAGGCATTGAGTCTTTTGCATTTAAACGTGGTTTTGAGCTACAGTGTGGGTGCTAGGAATTAAACCCAGATCTTCTGAAAGAGCTGTAAATGTTCTTAACCACTGAACAATCTGTTGCTCACACAGCAGGCATACATTTTGGTATATGCTCCTTCGGACTTGTATGAAAGGCTCTATAAAAGCCACCAGCATAGTAATTTTACATCTGGAAAGAGGATACAAACTGCATAAAAATAGGTGAGGTGAAATGAGAGAAAGGACAATATTCTAGTCACATCCACATAAATTCTGTTACCCTAGCCACACACACACACACGAACACAATTTGAGGAAGAGTCATTGTGAGAAAATACCCATCAACTCTCTTGGGATAATATCTGGGAAGGGTGAATAATGAGTCAAATATTTTATAATCTCTGATCAGTAACCAGTGTTCCATCCCTGTCACAAGCTGCCATGGGCTATGACACAGATACAACAGACAGCAATGGATAATTCAGATCTCAACCCACCAGATGAATAATTCTCTGATGGAGGAACCTGTAGTGGGTAGCCATTCCAGCTTTGACCTGGAAGTTCCAACTCCCATTAAGGCTTCAGTAACTGTCATGCCTACAAGGCAGGGCCAAGGGAGGGCCCTGAAGACCCGAGATCAGGATGTACCGCAAGCTCTTCCTGTTTTGGACCCTGGACTCTAGAGATAGACCAAGGAGAGTTCTCCAGAGAACACTGCTGGACTGTATTGTAGATGTAACCAACCGTCTTATTAAATAAGAAACACAGAACCAATGTAAAAGAGAAAGCCGAGAGGTCAGAGCTCAGAGCTAAAATCTTACCCTTCCTCCTGCGTGCTCCTAGCTTCCTGAAAGAGAAAGAGAGCTATTTCCTGTGTGTATGTCTTTAAATAGTCTTTCTGTTCTGCCTTCTCATTGGTTGTAAACCCAAACACATGACTGCCTCGTCACTGCCTGTAAGTACAGCCCTCTAGGTCTTAAAGGCGTATGTCTCCAATGCTTGCTGTATCCCTGAACACACAGAGATCTATGGGATTAAATGCGTGTGCCACCACCGCCACGCTCTTTCTATGGCTCTAATAGCTCTAACCCACAGGCAACTTTATTTATTAACATACAATTAAAATCACATTTCAGTACAATTAGATTACCACCACATTTCCCCTTTTCTATTTTAATAAAAAGAAAAAAAAAGCAAAAGGTTATAACTAACAAAAGAAAAACTATATACAAAAGTACAATAATTATATACAATATATACAAGTAATAAATACCTAAACAATGTCTAGTCCATTTGTATTTGACAAATCAGAGAAAATAATTTCATTATCTATCCTATAGTCCAAAATGTATCTAATTCCTTTCTATACTAGTTAATCTTCAACTATAACTAACTAACCTTCAACTATAACTAACTAATCTTCAACTATAACTAACTAATCTTCAACTCCCTCAGAGACCCAAGAAGAAAATAATATTAGCTAACAAAAATAAAAACAGGAAGTGTATGCAAGCAACTTCCCAAAAATTTGTGAGTTGACAGAAACAGCCAGCTACCTGGACAGTCACCTGAGATTTCTCTGCAGTGTTGGGGCATCATCTTCAGCCTATAGGCTTAGCATATCTGACAGACTCATTTGTGAAGTAGGATGTACACAAGGTCAACAGTTCAACCTCACATTGGGTGAGAGCAGTCCATGTACCAGAAACACCTGAATTTCACTAGTGTCATGTCATGACTCAGGATTTTAAATTCTGGAAATTGTTGACAGTTTTTGAATTCAGCTGTCCATTCCTCTTGGCTGTGTATATATGGCTTCATCTCAGCATCTCCTTCTTCTCCACATCCATCTATTAAATGCCAGTCTACTATCAAGAGGCGTGAGCTTTCAGCTGCTGTTCCATTGCACAACAGAAGCCATCGGCCCACTGCCTGTTCAGCTGCCTTGAAGAAAAGGGCACTGTACCTTTT